TATTGTGGAAAAGCCTTCCCAGTGTGAGCTGCACCTTCCATAGGAGAAAAGGGGACCTCTGGCTTATATTATTGCACTTCCATATTGCGCATCTGGTGAGTGCACATTTCTTATATTTCCTGCACGGTTTTTGAGTGAGTGCCTCACTGGGAAGTAACGAAGTCACCGTTTCATCTATTTGTTACTATCATTGGACATTATTTCTTTGGACTTCATACTGTATATTTAGGTTGTGGTTAGCCTTATATCCAGTATAAACATATAGTTTATTAGCGCTGCACTATTTTATAAGGTATCCAGAATATCATCTCTGAATGCACAACACGTCGAACCTTGAAGCAGATGGGCTACAGCAGACCACCACAGCAGACCACCTGTCAGCTAAGAAAAAGGGAAACAAAGGCTACAATTTGCAAGGCTCACCAAAATTGGACAATAGAAGATTGGAAAAAAGTTGCCTGGTCTGATGAGTCTTGGTTTCAGCTGAGACATGCAGATGGAAGAGTCAGAATTTGGCATAAACAACAGGAAAGCATAGATTCATCCTGCCTTGTATGAATGGTTTAGGCTGGTGGCGGTGTAATGGTGTGGGGATATTTTCTTGGCACACTTTGGGCCCCTTAGTACCAATTGAGCATTGTTTAAACACCACAGCCTACCTGAGTATTGTTGCTGACCATGTCCATCCCTTTATGACTAGAGTGTACCCATCTTCTGATGGCTACTTCCAGACATCATCCAATCCAATAGAGCACCTTTGGGATGTGGTGGAACGGGAGAGTCGTATCATGGATGGCCGACAAATATGCAGCAACTGCATGATGCTATCATGTCAAAATGGACCAAAATCTCTGAGGAATATTTTCAACGCCTTGCTGAATCTATGCCACAAAGAATTAAAACCAGTTCTGAAGGCAAAAGGGGGCCCAACCTGGTACTAGAAAGGTGTACCTAATCAAGTGGCCAGTGAGTGTATATTAGTACAAAATGCCAGATATATGGCTCTTTGATTGAAGAACTACAAAAAAAAAATTAAATACTGTTCTACTACATATAATGAATGGATGATGTGTAAATTAAGATCATTGAGCACAGCATGTAACCATTTGCCTTACCAGTTAGTTACTTTTTGTACCGGATAATTTGTCACTCTTATTAATTGCCTGCTACATTAAGTAAACTATTTATTCTTTTTACTTGTGCATCCACTGTGGTTTAGCCTTCCAAATAGCTTAATCTACATCAACCACATTACAGTGGTTTGGAAAGAATGTATTTTTATCCTTTTCTTACACAGACTCACAAACACTGATAATATCAAATGAAGCAGATCCTAAGTTATGACCCTAGAAATCCTTACCACTAGTTTCACAGTTGCCAACATAAAAAAAAAATATATAATAATAATAATTCAGGGGAACCTTTTTTGCCTGTTGTAAGCAGAAAATGTAATCTAATTGGGGCGGGGCATTAATTTAAAATGGCCTTGGTTTAACATCAGACACATCGTTAACCTAATGCTACACTCTAATTAAACATTTATAAGAAAGCTGTAGTTATGGGGCTAAAGAAATACAAAAGTAAATAAAAACAACAAAACATTGGTTTTAACAGTAAACATGTAGACACTGCTCCCAAGGTTTCAAAGTGGAACTTCACGCTCTCATCCAACACTGACTTTTTTCCACCCTTATGCTGCTAGCATTAGTAAATAGATAGCAAAGTATATCATATTTTCTTGTTTTAAACTTTTTTCCACATTTCTTCAGTTACTTCTTGCTTTCCAAGCCTAAGCAAATGAGGTCACATCCCAGGAGTCTTCTGGAGGGGATTAAGAGTTTTCTCAGCTAAGCACACCCTCCTGCTTGCATGCATGGGTTAAGGGCAAATGGTTTCCAAGAAGTAAATGCTACGCAGACCATCTGTCCTTTCTCAAGATGGTCATGGTCAAATGCTAGGGGGGGTTTTTCAAAGGGACTTCAACAAAATAAAAGTATAGAGACATGGATAGATGGGGGGGAGTTTGCTTTGAATATTAGAAAGGAATTAAATGGAGTTTGTGGTGCTCAGTTGCAGTGTAGTTCTGCTTTAAGTAGTTAAGTTAGTTAGTGCAACATAAAATGCCTAATGTATTAGCGATTGTTCAGGTCTAGACATAAGTAAGAAGCATGAGAAGCTGACACTCGGGGTGGACCATTTCTTTTTTAATATACCCCCCTATACGGCATAGTGATAATCACAAAATTAAATAAATACTAATAATAAGCAGAACAAATATAGAGACAGAGAAGATATCCTTTAGCTAAGCTAATACAAAATGCCCATCCTTGAGCCAGCAACATTGGGAATAATCACAATAATGCTAAAGAATGGTTTTAGTGCATAAGAAGCATAGGAGAGAAATATGGAGGGTATGACAGTGAGCAGTATGTACAGGTGAGTGTGGAGGGTATGATAGTGAGCAGTATGTATAGGTGAGTGTGGAGGGTATGATAGTGGGCAATATGTGCAGGAGAGGAGTGTGGAGGGTATGACAGTGGACAGTGGACAGTATGTACAGGAGAGGAGTGTATGACAGTGGACAGTATGTACAGGAGAGGAGTGTGGAGGGTATGACAGTGGACAGTATGTACAGAGAGGAGAGGAGTTTGGAGGGTATGACAGTGGACAGTATGTACAAGAGAGGAGAGGAGTGTGGAGGGTATGACAGTGGACAGTATATACAGGAGAGGAATGCTGAGGGTATGACAGTGGATAGTATGTGCAGTAGAGGAGAGTGAGCAGTATATGCAGGAGAGGAATGTAGAGTGTATGACAGTGGGCAGTATGTGCAGGAGTGTGAAGAATATGATGACAGGGAAGTCTATCAGCAGACAGGAGGGTGTGTGGGGGCAGGTTGGGGAGAGGAGTCCATCAGCAGGAGGGTGTGAAGTGGTCACGGGTTAATATTAATCAGCATGGGGGCTATGGAGGTATGAGGGGACTGTGGAATAAGGTTTGTCAACTGGGGGATAGGAAGTAGCAAGGAGTGATGCCAGTCAGCAGAAGGTATGGAGAGGCTTGGGGTATGTACAGTATGTATGCAGGGGGGTGGGGGGTGGGGAATTAGCCGATGAATAATATCTGTCATCTGGAGATTGGGAAATGGTTGGTTGGGAGATTGGGAAATCCCTCCAAAGTTTAGAAAATCCCTGGTCACTAGAATCAGTGTCCCCACTGAAAGCTCTCTCTTGTATTTCTGTACTAGTGACCACTCAAAATTTGGGATTTTCTTCTGCTGGTAAGGGTTACCAGGACAAATGGGTAGGGTGAGTCTCCCGAACAGGGATATAGACAGCAACAAAAACCTGACAGATGTTCAAATTCCTGCCCACTCTATCTCAAACTATAAAAAGGTTTTATATAATTTATTATTGAATTCAGAAGACATTGTGCAATTCCAAGGAGCCATCCAAAGAACAAGAGTCCAGGCTTCTCTTACTCTGAATGTCTTGTTATATCATCACACATTTTACCCTAGGCTTATTCATGATACAGATTAGAATGCAATTTTAAAATCTTTCAAAGCACAAGTTTATAATAGGGCGTAATACAATTTGTCATTATGATGTGCATGTCTGCAGTCTTTCATTCACACAAAGTCTGCTATTCAGCAGTTTCAGCTGCCCAGGCAGCAGGCCAAACAACTGCACGTCAGTCAGAAAAGTCAGTGGCAATGTTCCAACAAGCAATGCATACAAGTCCATCCGGTTTTCTCCATCAGTTCTGCTAGGGTCTACTAGTCAATGCTTTGCTTTCATCAGGCCATTACAATGACAAACCATGTACAAGTCACCAAGTCAATAACAAATAGGTCCTATCTAATATATATATACATATATACATATATATACATATACACACACACACACACATATATATACACATACACACACACACACACATACACCACACACACACACACACACACACACACACACAACGGTTAAAACACAAAAACAAAAGTATTCCCTGTAAATGCTGTAGTGTGAAAAGGACAAACCATTTGTCCATTAGGAAACATTTCTCAGTCAATCACTCCTAAACAGAGCCAACATTTCTCACAAACAAGCAAAAATCACAATTGCCCATCATGCAATAGTGTATCCAAATTAAATTTTTGGGGTTTTTTTTCCTGAGAAAGATATAGAGTTGCTCGTGGTGTTTAACAACCACATTTGTTTTTTTACAAAAGGAAAAAAAACATTTTGAGGAAAAAAAACAAACCCCAAAAAAGTTTCTTACTTTCGGTTTAAAAACGTATTTGAAAAAAAAAAAAAAAAAAAAAACACACACACACACACACACACCTTTCTGGACATTACAGACACCCCCAAAATTACCCTTTTTTGGAAAGTAGACACCCTGAGGTGAATTAAGTGTTTTTCTTTTTCTTGGGAAAAAAGGAAACATGCCGGCATTCAGATGGTAAAAAGCATGGAACTTTCTAATACATTGCCTACAGCCTACATCACATCATTAATGTAGAGCTCATACACAGGGCAGAGGAGATGATGAAGTTAAGGTACATACAATGGGAAAATGGAGAGGAGGGGGTGCAGGATAAGTGAGGTGAAGATGTCCATATACATGTCACTAAAGAAAAGATATGTATGAGGAAGGAAGGGGGGGGGGGGGGGTGAATGGTTAAAAAAAAAAAAACATCCCCAAATCAAATCTGATGCAGCTTATCCTTCAAACACTTGCAGCGTTTACATTTGTAAGCACTATAACTGGCCACCACAGGACCGCAAGAGAGCCGCCGTTTGACTTTATGATTTGTGCTGCCTAACAGTGCAGTGGCAGCAGGCATTATGAATCGGATGTTCTCACAAATAGTAAACACGGCATTTTTTTAGCGGTGTTCCAAAAAAAACACATGCACCTGTAAGTATTGAGAAAGTAATTAGCGGATGTTTACTACTATTTTGCAAAAAAATACATAAAAGCGGTGCACTAACCTTCCATCAAAGAAGAAGAACTTGCCACACGTCCGTTTTTTTTCGCCATGTACAAAGTGCCCCTCAAAGCGATCTGTGGAGCTGTAACTGACAGTGCAGAAGCCATGAGGCAGACCATCATCATCCAATTGTCCTACATAGAAATACACGAATTAGAAACTTCAGGGAGTTCACTGAATTTGTCATTTAAAAGAAGAACTCAAGAACAAAAAAAGATTACAGTTTGTCCACTGAAACCATAATGTTTTGGGTCATTTTTTATAAATGTTATTCTTACAGTTTTTTTCTCTACTACGAGTACAATCTAAAGTATTTCATACAGAAGGACAACATTCCTAACACACCATTAGTCATACTAATAATGCAAGGAATGTGACATTTACCAAATATTTATTGCAGGTGAATCTTCCTGCTGGTGCATGTATTTTAAATTACAGAAAATCATCAACCACCGGTAAATATTTGGTGATTGTCATTCACTGCTTTATAGATTTGCCCCCATCTAGTAGAAGTTAGCACAGTAGTAATGACCCCCCCCCCCCCCCCCCAATAAAGGAAGAGTCACTAATGTGAATCATTTAAAAGTAGTTGTAAAGGCTCGAGGTAAAAAAAACCTTTTCTGTGCAGCATCCCCCCAGTCCCCCCTAATACTCGCCTAAGACCCCTATCGACCCAGCGATGTGAACTGGAGTAGTCTTGGCTATCCCAGGACTCCCTCTCCTCATTGGCTGAGAGAAGTGGGAGCCATTGGCTCCTGCTGCTGTCAATCACAGCCAGTGAGCCAATGAGAAAAAAAGGGGGGCAGGGCCCAGCCACAGCTCCGTATGTGAATGGACATGCGGAGCAGCAGCTGGAGAGTACGCATGATTGGGTGCTTCTATAGCAAGCTGCTTGCTGTGGGGGCACCCGACTGGAAGGAGAGGCCAGAAGCGGCAGCGGGGGACTCAAGAAGAGTATTGGGGCTGCTCTGTGCAAGAACACAAAAGAGAGCAGGTAAGTACAGACATGTTTGTTATTTTAAAAAAAACATTTAAGCCTTTAGAATCACTTTAAAAGGATAAGTTAACCTTTTGTAAAATAAACAAACACTCATTTTGTTGCAGGTAAAAATGTGCATTGATTTTATTTTCTTCTAAGGAGTCTGCAGAGCATTGCACCTGCATTCAGCAAGGTTAGACTCCTGCAGACTCTCAGGACAGCTGTCTGCCCATACCTCCTGTATAGACAGGCAGTTACTTGAGAGCAGGAAGATCAATGAACTACGAAAGCACCCTCACAGTTCATTGAGAACTACAAGACATCAGCCGCAATGGCTGGGGGAAAGGGGGAGGATGCTGAACATGTTACACCCTTAAATACAGGTGTAACATGTTTAGAAAAAGTGAATTCAAACTTTAACGGTGTGTAACTGCAGCTTGAGCTATTGAGGTGTGTAAACAGGCTTTTAGTTATAAAAAAAATACATTTGTGAAGGAGCACAATGCTTCACCTGTTGGCAAAATAAATAAAATTAATATAAAATATAAAGCTGACCAAAATATCTGTTTTTTAATTTTGCAAGCCAAACCATAATAAAAGAAAAAAATAAGTAAAAAGCCACTAAACAGTCCCTTCATTAGATTTTAGTCTGTACTGCTGAGTTGCCATTTTAAAAGATAAACAAATTCTCAGCGTGCAAGTTTCAACCAAAGTCTAAATCTGGCTATACACAGATTTTTGTTTGAACGTTTGTAGAAAAATCATTCATCAGAACATTCTTTTTCCTGCCATCGAGTCAATTCATTTTGTTCGAAAGAACTTAAAATGTCATCCAGACCTGCTATTTGAACAAAATCCCAGGCACATTAACCACTTGCCCTCCAGAGGATTTACCCCCCTTTCTGATCAGGCCATTTTTTGCGATAAGGTGGTGCGTTATTTTAACTGACAATTGCGTGATCATACAACACTGTACATACATGAAATGTTCCCACAAATAGAGCATTCTTTTGGTAATATTTGATCACCTCAGTCGTTTTTTTGTTTATAGAGCAAAAAATAAAAACCGCAGACAATTTTGAAAGAAAAAATAATATTTTTACTTTTTGCTATTAAACATGTCCAATAAAAAAATTTGTAAAAATCACATTTCGTCATAAATTTAGGCCAAAATGCATTCTGCTACATGTCTTTGTTAAAAAAAATCCCAGTACATGTAAATAATTGGTTTTCGTGAAAGTTATAGCGTCTTTAAAATGGCGGTACATATACACATTGAATTTTTTTTTTTTTAAATACTAGTAATGGCGGCGATCAACGACTTATAGCGGGACTGCGGAGGGCATTCTAACACTGGGTGAAAACGGACTACCACTGACATCCCCAATGACACTAATACAGTGATCAGTGCTAATGACACTGGGCAGGAAGGGGTTGACTTTTTTTGGCGATCAAAGGGTTAACTGTGTGCTGTGTTTGTTTTACTGTGTGTGCAGAAAAACACAAAACAGCATTTCCATGCTGACAGGAAAGAGACCTGTGCAGGGGCGGACTGACAACTCATGGGGCCCCCCCCCCCGGGCAACAGGGGATCATGGGGAACCTGTGTCCTTGCCCACACTCAAAAAAGCCTATAAAAAGGTACCAGGTGCATTTCATGGGGCCCCCTACTGACCCCGGACCCTCGGGCAGTGCCCGAGTGCTTGAATGCTCAGTCCGCCCCTGGACCTGTGTTGTTTACACACAGGTCTCTCCCGTCAGCTTTGCACGGTGATCACCAGGTGCTAACGGGGAATTCTCATGCCTAGTTGCATGGGAATGGGAAATGCAAATTCCATATATATATATATATATATATATATATATATATATATATATATATATATATATATACACACACACGTGATTTTGTGCAGCCCTGCAGCAGTAGTTCTACTACAGAGTGGCGGGGAAGTAATTAAACAGGTTTCACTGCAATATATGATTTTTCCCCACATAGAATGCATGAAGGTAAAAAACCTTCTGTGCCCAGCAGAGCCCCCAGCCCCCTCACCTGAGCCTCTTCGCGATCCAGCGATGTGAATGACAGCCTCGGCTGTCTCCTCATTGGCTGAGACAGCTAGTGGGAGCTATTGGCTCCTGCTGCTGTCAATCTCAGCCAGTCAGCCAATGAAGACAAGGGGGTGGGGCCAAGTTGCAGCTGTGTGTGTGAATGGACACACAGAGCAGGGATGCCCTCATTGCAAGCTGAAAGAGATTCCATCCTGCGTCTTCCAAATTTCTCATCACTATGGTCACCAATAAATGTTACTCGGACCCCTCCAACCATTATAACATTTAAAAAAAAAAAACTAGAACAAAAATGTTCCAAAAAAAAAATATTTTTGTGCTTTATGTGTAAAGCAAGATCTGCCTATACCTCCAAAAGGGAAGATGACCCAAAGTCTTTGAAGCACTGCAGCTGAACATCTGGGCATGTTACATGTGTATTGCTATATTTTGCGTGTTGAATTCAGTTGCTGTTAAATGTGTAACCCTCCATAGAAAGACACAAGTCTATGACAGTAGCTATGCTCTGTTCTATAATCAGCACTGTCCTAATATTCACCGTGTCATATTGGCAGCAATATGAGACAGCAGTGAGGAGAGCAGAAGTTCTGGCTCCTGTATGCTTGACAACCATTTGACAAATATGGATGTAGCCAGCGTGCTGCCAACAAAACTATAGGAAACTGTGCCATCTACCATGTGCAGCATACAATATACCAGACCAGTAACAGTTAAAAGTCAGGTATATCGGGGGAAAAAGTACAAACATTTTTCCCAAGATGGAATCAAAATAGTAACAAGGTAGTTTTGAAGCATTATTAGTTTAAAAAGTCACTGCCAGCCGATTATTATTTGAAATACATGCTAAAATAAAATGTACATCAGCCTCAATCTATTTCTAGCACTTTTTGTTTACATTTTAAAATCAATATTTTTGCTTGAAAATGTCTTAGATCCCCCAAACATTATATATTTTTTTTAAAGCAGAGGCCCTAGAGAATAAATTGGTGAATTTTGAAATTTTTTTGTTAATGTCACGCAATATTTGCCCAGTGGTTTTTCAAACGCAATATTTGAAAAAAAAAAATGTTTTTCATTCTTTTGCAAAACAATACATAATCCAGTTTTTTGTAAAATATTAAAGATGATGTTATGCAGAGTAAATAGATACCAAACATGTCACGATTTAAAATTGCACATGCCTGTGCAACGGCGACAAATAATGTAACTTTTACTATGCATAGGCGATGCTTTCAAAGCTTTTACAGGTTACCCCTTTAGATTTACAGAGGAGGTCTTGTGCTAGTGTTACTACCCAAGACCTGATGATTGTGGAAATACCTCTCATGTGTAGGACAAACGCTGTTTGCGTGTGTGCGAGACCAACGCGTGCACTCAAGCAGAAAGATGGCAGTTAGGACGGTTCCAATCACATAACCACTGTAATCGGCTGTCACAGCAGTCACATGATCAGGAGTCCAACGCACCAGCTCCAAATCATCATTAGAGACTGGGAAAGCACTCTATGGAAGTATATGTGAGGTGTGGGCAGCAAGTGGTTAATTATGTGTCTGGTCAGAGTGAAAATCTGTCGATGACATCTGTCACTCTAGTGATAGTGATAAATCTTTTTGGCCTTAGCAAATATATGGCAATTGGCTGCTCGTGTTTCAGGTGCAAGCCTGTCAACCTGTTTTGCCTAATTGTGTGGCAATTTCGCTTGATATATCAATAATGTTGAGATTTATGATTAGCGCCACATTCTTTTAGATATCCATAAATTTGCTTGATAAATATCCTCCAAGTGCTAATTTATGGCACTTTCAGAATAAGGATCATTGTGGCATAACAGTCAACACTGCATGTGTGTGACCAGCTTCATAAACATGATCACACAATATTGGATAGTATTTGAACTGGGGTAGAAGAATAACTACATTGTTTCTATCCAGCCCAAGCTTCCAGCAGTATTTCCCAGAATAAATCTCTTTAACCATCATCTTCCTAATCTCTGTCTGTCTGCTGTCACAGCACTGTAGTAGATCTCTGCTGTCTACCAACAAAGAAGATTACTGTTGGTGTCGTGCGATAACTGGGTGAAAGGCGA